TTCAATTGAATGATAAAAGCACCCAAAACATATAATTTCAAAATAAATATGTCATAATTGCATATCACTTCCAAAGCTCAACATAGAACAATTTAAACCGGACAAATGTCCCCAAAATTTATTGAGTTAAAATCAAAYCAACAAACTCCACAGCTCATTTGACTATTCAAATAAAATCAATATAAATTAACATGTTACAAATACTCGATGTTTAAGTAACTTATACACCAAAATGTTTGAAAATCGTATCACGGACTCAAATGCCGAGACAAAAATCCCAAAACGCATTTTTTTTTCTTAAATCAAAGCCAATAGGCTCTTCAACTTGTTTGAGTAATCCAGAACGAGTCATCATAAACCCCACAATGCATTTAAAGAGTTTAATAAATCTCATGATCCAAAATACTACAAAATCCAACAAACTAAAGAGTCGTTTACCAAACACTTATCCGATAAGTGCTTGTCGGTAAAATTTAACATTATTATTTACTTACCGGGTAAGATTTTAGTCCACTAAAACGACATCATCTGCAACAATTTACTCGGTAAGCGCTTATCGTGGTAAGAGTCGTCGCTCTCACTTACCGGGTAAGGCTCTTGGTCCTTGTCTCGCTCTTTCCGGGTAAGATTTTCGGTCCTTACCATATTCATCCGGTGAGATAATGTTACTTGGTAAACACTTACCTGGGTAAGTGATAACTCTTATTTTTAAGAGTTATTTCCTATTTATTTCTTCCCTTTTTGCTATTATTAAATACCCAATTTTCTTATTTTTATTCTTTTATTCCAAAATTTTTTAAAAAGATGATGAAACACAAAGGAAGAGGTATTATTCCAAAAACCTGTATTTTTCTGACAACACTGCCCACTGTGGCACCACTGTGGGAAGTCTACCAGCCTTGTTGCTGCTTCTTGGGAAACGTACAGCTTGAAGATTCCTCCAGATATTTTCTCCAGTTGTATATGAGCTGTCTTCCTTCTTCTATTATATTTGTATTTGTATTTTCTTAGCCTTGTACTAATTTCCTTTAAGGTAATGATTGAGTGTACCTTACTCCCCTTCATCTCCCCTATATAAAGAGGCCTTGGGGAGCCATTTTGAGGAGACCACCAACACCCGAACACCATCTAAGACACAATACTCTCTAGTGTGTCTCTCTTTCTTCTCTTTCTTTTCTTTCTTTTATTATTATTATGCTTTTTAATTTTTGTCTTTACTTTATGTCTTTAATTTCTAGTATTTTATTTCCTTGTACTTGTAATTTAGTTTTACATTAATGCAATTTATATTTCAGTATTATTTAATGTCTTACATTACTTTTATTATGTCTAGCTAAATTACTCGTATGGGTGTGGGTGTGAGTTTAACTTAGAATGATTATATAATATTTGGGTGTTTTTATCTTTTATCACTTCGTAACTTGGTCACTTAAGACGGTGCTTAAAATGCGGATAAGCTGATCACTTTGAAGTGTTAATATTAGATCTTAGACCCAGAGATGGGCRGATCCAAAATACGGCTTAAGTGATGCACAATGAACTCGAGAGGGTCTTTGAATAATTACGTGGAGACGTGAATTTTGTATGCATCTAGCTAAGGAATAAGCAATAGGTATTTTTATCACAAAGAGATTTGAGTAAGAATCGCATTCCTTTTACTTTTTAGCTAGATCGACAAGTCTCGAAGTGGTAAACATAAAAACCTTATGGAATTTTATGAGGCCCGGTTATAAAAGTTCACTTTCGAGAGATTGAAACTTTTATAAGCAACTCGTAAAAGCCTAACCTTTTTATTGTTAATTTATCTTAAGCAACACTTGCACACATGCCCATCTTTTAATATTATAAGTTTATTTCGTTATTTAGCTAGTCGGTCTTATTTCGGTCTTTTTATAAACAAAAATCCAACTTTTATTTACATCTCGAAACTCGTGCAAGAAGTTCATGGAAAAACTCTGAATCTCAGTAGTACCTTCTCTGTGGGAACGATCTCGGTACTTTGTACCACTTTATTACTTGCAAGCGATCATAGTGTCGTCGTGTACTTGCACCGCCACTGTGGAGACATTCTGCCCACTAGGTGAACACGAACGATCCCTTCCTGTCAGTAAGCATTTGGTAAACAGCCCCTAAATCATGCATATTATTCGAATGTTTTATAAAATCAATATACCCAAAAATTTATTGACATCAAATAATCATCATATGACAAATAAATCATCAAAACCCACAAATTTTATGATTTATTATCAAAATGTCCAAAAACCTCAAATATATATGTATTTCCTAAGATTTTATTAAACCAAATACGTAAAAGTTGCAATTTCATCAAGTGACCACAAGATTTGATAAATCTTACGGAACACTTTAAGACTCCAAATAAACATTTTTTGCATGTACAGAGTTTTCACAAAACAATTTGAATTTACCTTGCTAGGTTATGTTAAAATTATTTTTTAAACTAATCTCTAGCTTCCAAAAGGTGAAGACTTTAATCCAAAATAACTCCTAATAATAACCTCTCAAGATCACTTTCCATGGCTAGAAATACACAAGTATGAACGTAAGCTTAGATCCACAAAAATCTCCAAAATGGAGCTCAAAACATCCAAGACTTTACCTCATGAAGATCTTGAAACTCCCCAAAAGTGAGCCATCGGTTCAGGTACAAGATACTATCATTATCGTCTGAACAATTAGACATCCAACTTGTAATCGCAACGACCAAGATCTTCAATCTTCAAGATTCTCCTCTCTATTTACTCTAAAAATCGTCCCCAAGGCTCTCAAAATCTCCCAAAACTGAGAGGATATGAAGAGGGGGAAGAAAATGGAGAACCCCCCTAAAAATTGGGCTTAAAAGATGTTCCAGAGGCTTCTCGCGACTTTTTCCGCATCCCAAGTCGGCGTTGTAAGCGGTCCGCGTCCCTAAAGATATTTTGCTGAAACAGTGAATTATGCGACTGTTCATGTGACTTAAGTAGCTAAAAGTAGCGGGATTTTTTGTTTCGCTTTAGGTGCAAATTTTCTCTACCAAAACTTGTTGGTACCAATTTTTTTATGACATAATGCATCAACTCAAGGTATGACCTCCAAAGGCTCTTAAAATATATCAATCCCATAAATCTGTCCACAAAATTGGGATGTTATAAAATTGATTAATGCAAGATTATTGAATTTTTTATTAAAAAAGTTAAACTTGAAATTTATGGAATATTTCGTTGTATTTTTTTTAAAGACATCAAATTAAAATAAAAAGGAGCAGCAAAAATTACACAGCTCAGGAGGGCGTGGAGCAAGAAGACGTAGCAATCAGAAGCAGGCTCAGTCTGAAGCCGAAGGAACAAAAGGGAAACAAAAATGCAAGGAAAACAAACACCAACAACTGAACAAGGAACCAACAAGATATACAAGAGGAACAAGAGGCTCGGCTAGGATTTTGGAGCGGAGCCGTGAGCCAACTTTCCTATGAGATGAAATCATTACGGGAGCTTTTCGAGATCCAATTATGCACATCGGACATGGACCCAATTTTGTTGTGTTACTGGAACTCAATGTTTATCGTGTATATAAATCTATTAGATTAGGGGCTGTCTTTTGAGAACTCACAAAATTGTGAGAACATGAAAACTGCGCAGCATGTGCTTTTTGGTATATATATTTTTTTCATCGAAGGCCATGATCTAGGATACTGATTAAAATATATTTGTTTCATAATATATTTGTTGCACGCATATTTGGTTCACAACGTGAAACTTCTTGATGTGTTTGTGAAACAAAAAAATACACGTAAAAAAGTGTCAATACATATGAAGCATACACATTATGAACAAATATATGTTAACCAATACATTAAATACTAGTCTTAGATGGGAAAAGATTATGTGATGTAACAGCCCAAAAATAGGAGACAATTTAAGCCGTAGGAATAAAGCGGAACAAAAGCTGGATCAAATATAATCACCCCAACAAAGGGGATGCATGAGAGTTTACAATAAAATAATGGACGGTAGCTAACAACCTATTAATCTAAACCGATTCTAGATTTAGATTACAATCGGGTGTTGCTACAATCCTCAAAAGAATACTATTAAAAGTAACTCCACAAAATGGTAACCCAAAATGCCACCACCGGCAAAATCGCTCCACTTAAGCTTTTGGAGTCCCACCATTTAGAGATACTGATATACATGTCATTTAAGAAAAAGTGTTAGGCTTAACGTCTAGTGATAACAAACAATTATAGAATAAACTATAAGATATAAAAACCGAAAACATAGCTTTAATCAAGTCATTTCTTGCATTTAAATCAAGCTTGTCCTACAGCAACGGAACACATAGGTAAGCCACAATTCAATGTTATATAAACATCATTTATAAATGATCAGTCATTAACATCAACCTCTTTTGCAACATATGTTTGATCCATACTTCGAGCTCTAATACTGACTTTTGACATTCATTTTCCAGACTGTCACCATAACATAAACATAGCTATAAAATGATATGATCTTAAGGTCTAAACCTTAATTATGACTCGTTTATACACAAACGGTCGAACGCCAATCTCGAGTGTTAAGAGAATGAATCTCTATGAAAAAAACACCAATCAGACGAAAATCTCCAAAATAACTATTCTTTCAACACCGATGCTTCTGAGGCTACATATTTTAACTTCCAAAGGTCAAAAAACAAAATTAAAACATACTAAGGAGCCGTTTACCAAACGTTTATCCGGGTAAGCGCTTATCAAGTAACATTACCTCACCAGATGAATATGGTAAGGACCAAAAAACTTACCCCGTAAGAGCGAGACAAAGACCAAGAGTTTTACCCGGTAAGTGAAAACGACGACTCTTACCACGGTAAGCGCTTACCGTGTAAATTGTTGCATACGAAGTCGTTTTGATGGACTAAATCTTACCCGGTAAGTAAATAATAGTGTTAAATTTTACCCGTAAGCACTTACTGGGTAAGTGTTTGGTAAACGGCCCCTAACTCGATAAATCCCACATAAATTTAGTATCTATGAGCGGGTTGTACACATTCATGACATTTACCCCCGAGAGTAAAAGTATTGTTTCTGACCAAACAAACTTACGTTTCATTTGGTTTATTTTCACAACCCAACAAACTTCACACGAAATTAAGACGATCACGAGGATGAAATTTTATGAATATCAAACAACAATAGGCCCCAATATGGACGTTCCAATCTTTTTAGAGGTTGTGTTACATCCAAAACTTTTGATTACATTACATAAATGAGATAACAATGAATATATGTTAAGAACAAAAACGAACTAAACCTAAAACGATTAACAATATGAAACTAAACATAAAGCATTAATGATTTGAACCTAAACCCAAACGACTAATCGTTTGAACATAAATAATTTCGGCTATACTTTACATGTCGATAAAAAGACCCTGAACACATAAATTTGGGACCCAAAATATCAGAGACTCTGTTCAAAATCTCACATTTAACATGCCAAGAGACAGTCGGGCCCTACGCCCCGAGCAATCTCACCAGATAAACCACGATGTGGCACTCAAACCCATGGCTTGAGCAACTTCTAATCGCTTAACAATGTGATTAGACAATACTACGAGGCCATTTAACAACACAAACTAGATAAGCACCAACCAATTATATGCATCAATGACATTGATCTCATTTTAGATCAAGATCGGCATTATTCTTATCAAATCAGCACCACTTTCCCATCAATGATACATTAGCCCTTTTAAAGCACACAAAATAGAAGATAAACAATGCAGTTTGATATAATGATAATAATAATAATAATAATAATAATAATAATAATAATAATAATAATAATAATAATAATAATAATAATAATAATAATAATAATAATAAAAGTTGACCAAAATCCAAAGGGTACAAACGTAATTACTTGCCCCATGAAAGACATGTAGTTTTCTTTCATGGTAGCCCATAAATACTAGGGCCAAACAAAAAGCTCTCCAAGTTTATATACATCTGGTAAGCCCTTTCACCTTCTCATAAACATCAAATGTTTTTTTTTTCACTTAAAAAGAGACCAGTCACTTCTCTACATGATCATGCTGATGATACCTCTGCCAAGTTTTCAGTTTTCCGGCCATAATCAGAAGTCGAACTCTCCAGTGGCCTGAGAAAAGAAACACCATCAATAAGTCCCAAAAACCGAGGACGGAAATCACTACATATATATACCATTCATGATCTAAACCATACAGATTGGCAATGGGGTTGTGGAAAATCCGCCATTTTGGTTATCCATAAGCTAGATTTTTGAAAAGCTATTACAACCTGCATTCATTAAGCTCCATACGTTTTTTTTTATTAACCTGAATATCCAACCCGCTATGCGAGCTGACTAATTCCAGAGCGATCACTTGCTTTGCAGATAGCCCGGAGTCACCGCATTTGAACCTCCGTGGCCACAAGAGGATTTTTATTCCTCCTTGGTTTTTTTCCCAATTATACCCCTTGTATTTTTCCAACTAATTTTTTAACATGTCCTTTTAGATCATTCTACTTTGTCATCTGGCTTATCAGCTAGTTTTTACCCATAATTAATTTATCAAGCTAGCTTATCAACTAACTTGCCATAAGCTAGCTTCTTAAAAAGCGACTTGATACAGTGCCTCAATAAGCTCCATAGGCTTTTTCTTCCCACTTTTTTTCTAATTATACCCCTTGTATTTTCCAAATAATTTTTCGAGAGGTCCATTTAGGCAATTTTACATTGTCATCCAGCTTAATAGCTAGTTTTTACCAACATAGATAGTTTATCAAGCTAGCTTATTAGCTAACACCTAAATTATCAACTTAATTTGCCATAAGCTAACTCTTTTAGAAGCTACTTCCAGTAACATCTCAATAAGCATCAAAGACTTTTTTCCAATTATGCCCCTTGTATTTTTCAAATTAATTTTCCAACATGTTCTTTTAGGTCATTTTACATTGTCATCTAGCTTATCAACTAGTTTATTAAGCTAGCTTATTAGCTAGTCTGCTAAAACATAGTGGAAAGTATGAAAAGGATCAGAAGAGACCTTATTGAACAAAACATCTTTGTTGTTTATGTGCATAATGCCATCCTTCAGAGTGCACCTCCACCTGCTCTTAGCTCGAGTCACCTGTCAACCATTGTGAACATTTATTTTGGGACGGAGGGAGGAATTTGGCCCATTAAATTTTTTTATTTAGCAAATATTCATGTTGATCATTCACATTATGCATAACTTGTAAAAGATCACATGTTTTTAATAAAATATCCAACAAAGTAAATAAATATAACAAAAATGAAAAGGAGGTTGTTAAACAAGAATCATTGGCACTTGAACCATTCATTTGACAATCAAACAACTCAAATTTAAAGAAAAGAAAGAACGAGATACATCAAAATGCAACGAAGTTTGGCTCAGTTCCTATTTAGTAACAAATAATTTTTCTTCAAGTTTCAAAATTTCCAATTCGATGTCACAGTTTTAAACTCTCCTATATTTTACCCATTTTGACTAGTAACCGCTGATTTTGTAACACCGGATGATGTGGATGGCACGTTTATCCCCCACTTGGCCTTAACCCTTTTGTTAACATTTCGTAAACCTTTCATAAACGGGTCTCCACATATCAAAGGTTACAAGATTAGCAGGTTATTGGTCAAAATGAGTAATAGAAAACTTTAAAACTTGATTACATCAATTGATTGAAGAAAAAAAAATCTTTGTTACACTACATAGAAACTAAACCAAACTTCGTTGTATTTTGCCCAAAAAAAATTTCTATCTTTGTCCCAGTATGCAAATATATATGTCTGGAATATACCTTGTCAAACTGGGCCAGAACCAGATGCTGTGTGTTTAGTTCCTCGCCTTGGTCTACATCATCTAGATCATCGTCATCATCATTTTCGTTCAAAGGCTCATCTTCATCATCATCTAAAACATCATTTTGAGTCACCAGGGCAGGAGTTGGTGCTTGTAGCTCTGAACAAATGCAGACAACACAGAATACAAAATTTAGATCGAGAAAAAACAACGAAAAGGCACACAATTTTTTTTTATTAACCTAGATATCCAACCCACTATGCGAGCCGACTAATCCCAGGGCTACCACCTGCTTTACAGATAGCCCGGAGTCACCGCATTTGAACCTCTGTGACCACAAGAGGATTTTTATTMCTCCTTAGATTTGAACTTGGGACCTCCTGGTACTTTTGACCTTTGGAGCCAAGCTCAAACCAATCAAGCACCACCCTTGTGGTTAAGGCGCACAAATTTGGTTCAAACTAGATCGTAAGTTTACCTGGTGGAGCGGGTGTGTTCACTACGTTATAGTCTTCACTCACAACTCCTTGATAGTTGTATATCTTCAGGTACAAGAAAGCAATTAGTTAGTTACAAATGCAAACACTGATATATTTCTCACCGCTTTTCATTCAGAGTTATGAACAGAGCCATACTCGTCAAGCCAAAACAAAATTTAAGAGTAAATTACAGTTTTGGTCCCTGTGGTATGCATTCGTACCTAAAAGTCTAAAACGCATTAAATACAATTTTGGTCACGGTGGTATGCATTTTGTTGTAAATTTGGTCCCACCCTCAAACTGCCGTTAAAAAAGGTCTGTTAAGTGAGACTTCTAAGATGAGCATTTGACGGAAAGACCAGAACCGCAATAGTAATGCGTACCACCGCGATCAAAATAGAAATTAGTGTTTTTATAAGAGACGAAAACCAAAAAAATGCATACTACAGTCTACAGGGACCAAGATTGTATTGTAATCATAATTTGATAAATTTTGACTCGAGTTAATTCAACCCATCACATATAGAGGAAGGTTTGCATATCATGATCACAAAGAATCCGTCTTCCGATGGGTTCAACTTCTAAAGAAAACAATCCATAAAGAGGGAACATGCAGTGTAAAGTATATCATCAGCTCAACTCAGTGCAACTCTAGGGTCTTATAATAACTGACACGGTGCAGGTGGCTCACATACTTGTTAAAAATCGAACAACACAAAACGGCATAAACATAACGTCAGGTTTGCCAAGATTGCCCAAGGATTACAAGGCTTATAATAATTCATATGGACACTTTCCAGACAGGATGATGAGACTGCTGCCCCTTTTGGTTTATAATGTAGAGTAAGGGGTTGTTTGGTTGGTTTTTCATTAAGTCATGTATGGATAAAGCTAGCGATATATAAAGCTGTTAGATTGTATGCTAATCATATTCATTAAGTCATGTATGGATAAAGCTATCTTCTAGGGACAACGACAAAGGCTTGTCTGAAGGAACAAGAAGCAAATGCTTACATTTGGTGTAGAAAGTGCATCATCATAGGGATCAGGAATGGGCCCATCCAGTTGAGGAATCCTAGAAGGCAATGCAAGTCCAATACCAGGCTTTCCCTTATCAGCAACGATAATTCCAGGTTGGGAACTGCTCCCTTGACCAAGCTGAGAAACAGAACATATACACAAAACATTTCATCATACAAAAATAGACAATCCACAAATGACGAGAAACAAATGCATGGAACTGTGCCATTCATGTCCCTAAAAATGTTTTTCTGGCTTTTAGGGTTTTGCCATTAGAAAAGTATCAATTTCCTCTTTAGCCCATCTAATTTACAATAAAAGTCTTGTTATTGTAGTTGTGCACATGAAAATATACCAACAAAGAAAATCAAATGATGTGAAGACCACATCTAGTGTGTAAAATAATATTAAATATACTACTCCCTGCATCCCAAAATATATGCAACTTTTTCCGTTTTGGTTTGTCCCCAAAAGAACTGCAGCATTTTTCTGTTTTCAGTAAGATTCCAATGCAATCTTACTTATTTTCCCGGTAGTAAAGAACTAAAGATCACATAGTGGCCTTGATTTTGGTCCACCAGCTTTAGTATTTCTCCTTATTGATGGTTTTTTAGAATTTGATCATTAGTCAAACACTCATCAAACTAGGATTATTTAGGAGAATAACATTCTGAATTGTTTTTAAACACATTACTTTCTGACAGATTTAATAACATCTTTGCCCAACACAAAAATGCCTCAAGATCTGTCAGAAACTAATGCATTAAAAAAGGTGAGAAGGTTATAAACTTCACATGGAGAGTTTTGACAAATAGAAAGTTGAATTGGAGTGTTCTAAACTTTCTGACAAGTGCAAAGGTATCCAATGAGGATTATGTGTGAACCTACATAAAACATGCATTCTAAGACTAAAACTAATTGGAGTGTTCTAAACCTCACATGGAGAGTTTTGACATATATATCATCCCGTAAATGCACAACAAACAGCAACATACGCGAATTCGTTATCTCATGGATTCCATAACTGCGGTTTGATAATTGTAGCAAGTAATTTCTATGAAAATATACAAGTTGAGCCACCTGGTGTATGGGAATAGAGAAAATGACGCAAAACTTTCTGACAAGTGCAACGGTATCCGATGAGGATTTTGTGGTTCAATTTCCAATAACAAGTAATCCTAGAGTAATAAAAGATGGATGCCACATGTATTTATCCATTCACACTTTATAGCAAGTAACATCCATTACTGGCTAAAAGTTATAACCTCATTCTTCATAAAGAACAATCTTACTGATGTGGGGATGAGACATTACTTCAGTAAGTTGTATAGTAAATAGTGATGTTACCATTATCTGCAGACATGGGTGGATTCACCAACGGAGTCGATTGACTTATTTTGATGAGCAGAAAAAGAAAATTTTAAAATTTTATTAGACAGAAGCACATTTAACCATTAACTAAATAAAACAAGCCATCACAAGAAGCATCCATGCTACTATGAACATGTCGATCATCTTCACTCCACCATCGCTGGCATTAACCCTTAATCTAAAACTCCTTTAATGTCATCAAGGTCAAGACTGGCAGGAACTTTGCTCAGAATTCCAAAAATTCAAACCAAGGTTCAAGAAAGGCATCTTTTTAAGCAATTGTCATAACCAAAGACACAAGTGATGCATGGACTCACTTTAACGCTTCACTACATATACTAAACCTGTTTTTTAATGATTAAAAATAAATATGTTAGTTGCCAATAGGTAGTGTTTTCTCCTATGCTGATGAAAATGCAGTGTAGTAACAATGAACATAGGACAGCAATCTTAACTCAGGCTAAAATGTCATTTCAGCCTCCCTTGGTACAATTACAAAAGAATTGCGACTTAAACACAAATTCTGTTGGAGATATGGAAATAAACTAGAAAGTTATCACCAAATAAATTGTCACTGAAAAACTCAAAGAAGAAACATGTCATGATCACAAGCAAGGCTGCCAGCCTGCAACAACAAAAATGCAAGCATGCAATCATACTAGAATCAGATGACATTTGAATTGTATATCGGACTACCCTTCCAGCATCACATGATCCACAGCATGAGAGAAGCCAAGAGTTACATCCCCCCCCCCCCAACCCTCTTAAAAAATTAAATCTTGAGGTGTTTCTAACCAGATGTAATTAAGGTTTGCTCATCTTGCCAGATAAAAGCTCCTACCAAAAACATAGTAAAAACACAGCTCCTAGATGCTGGAGTCTTCTTTGTGCATGTTTTGGGCCTGTGGAAATCCATAACGATAATGGATGCCATTTCAAGGTAAGGCCAAGGAGTATGCTAAATCAAGGATGTAATGTTAGTCATGGGCCCATGGCTATATATTTTCACTGTTGGGGTGCATGAAACTCCACTTTTCAGTAAAGGAAATTTAGGCAAGGAGATCAAAAGTCAAGCAAGGTCAGTGTTTGGCAACATATCAATACGTCCTGGTCTTAACAAATGACTATAGCAAAACAAGCACCAACATTATAACAATTTGAGGTAATTACGACAACCATATCAATTTGATATATATAACCAATTAACCATATCATTATGGTGTTTTTGATAGACGTATAACAAGATCATTTACCTCGTACAAAACAACTATATGTCCAAATGTAGACCTTTTAAAAGGAATAAGCACCAAGAAGGTTCACCTCAAACTTATCAGCTATTACATCTGCAGCTCCATCTTGCTGAGGAATATATCCTCCCGGACGATATTGTGAAGGAAAATCATCCCGTTTACGCTTTCCAGCAGATAAAAGAAAGAAATCCTATAATTAAGATTATGATCAATAATGAAAGCTTCTATGGAACATTTAACATTATATTATAAGCATGAGAAATACACGATATAGAAAATGTAATAGAGTGGTACTGTTTGTTTCCTGGTTTGTGTAATCTGTAGGCACAATAGCGACATAAGATTCATTGACAAATCACAACAGACAAGGGCAGCTAGTGCTTCCATATGTCCCTGATTTCACAACATACTAACTAAAACTTACATCTTAAGCACCTGGATGTTTCAAGCAGTACAGATCCTAATATGTGGAATGATCAGAAAGTTGGCAAAGCTATTCGATAATTCACAAGTCAATCCACTCACGCATAATAGTATCGTAGCAATATAGTCCTAATAAACAAAAAGCCAATTGCACCCACCATCTCAGTAAAAACTATTCTAACATAACCACCTAATTTTGGTAAGATGATCATTAGAAGAAAAGGTTGTTGAAGTCCAAAAGGCATCGACATCCCACTGATGTTGGGTGTGGAAAAAGTCAAACAGAAATACACAAACATTATATCTAAGACTAAGCAAATAGGTTTTCCATCGTTCAACCCAATCCTATGTCAAACAACTCACTAGAAAGCAACAACAAACATTCAGTTGTCATTATTTCTCTTTCCATTCCTATAAATATTGCCTGTTATAAAATTTGACAAGATCCCATCTCATCAAGATTCAATTTGCTCAAAATTTTGTTGGCATTTTACACACTCATATTGGTGTTTCAGATCAGAACCTTTATCAAAATATAAATTGTCCTTGTTGTGTGGTAAACATAAAAAGAATATAATCGATGCATATGTGTGATACAAATTGCTGGCGCTTAATATGGATAAATGTAGTGATTGTTATTTGAAACTTTGATGCATGATTTCTTTTGGGGTCTAAAACATAAAGGTTAACAGACATGGTGAAGAAAACTAGTTGTTTGCTCATTAATTCTAGGTCCACCAAAGGAAGTAGCTTTGTTTTAACCTTGATGGAAAGAAAAGTGTCCTAAAAAATGACTACAGCTGTAAACAAATTTGTCTAGCCTTCCAAAAAATGGTATACAAACCAATTCACACTATACAGATATTTTCTTTCTGTTACAACTCTCCCTGGCCAAGGCTATCTGAGCAGCAAAAATCAGATGTGGATGATAGCATAGTTTATTAAGCACAGCACCTCCGACGCTTAGGATTCCAAGGTGATTATAAGTGTATACACAATAAACAAGTCATGCCAAGATGGGAAATTTGAAGAAACACCCAACATAGAGTCAAATTCTTGGGTATTTACAATCTTGAGTTTTCCTTAGAAAAGCAAGTTTTAAGTAGGATGATATGAATATCAAGTTATCAACAACCCGGGGGTAGCACACAATCAGTCAAGCTAATGCATGCAAGTTAAATAAACTTTTTAATGTCTGGTTTGAAGCATTAGTTCTGTAGAAATGTAGACCTTGAAAAGAAAATGGAAACAACTTGAACAAACTTTACAAAATTTAGTAAACGAAATATAATTGGTTATACAAAAATGGCAGTGAAGTTTATAATTAAATAAAAGTAGCTCATACTATTGTTCAGATATTTGATTAGTTAGCTAACCAAGCCATGCACACATACACATTCCCACTAGAAGCAGATGATGTTGCATGAGTGCCCTACAATTGGCTAAATTGGAAGTATGTAACAGAACTTTTACTCATTGAGTTCCATATATTTACAATTTAAGCTGAACTGATCAAATACAATCTACTTTGAGCTGAAAATATCAAGCTATTAGCAAGTCGATTTCACAAGGTTGCCCCTTAAACTCATGAGTCGATCTTTCCGCTTATGAGAGCTAACTCTAGTTCAAACTTGAGTGACAAAAAAATGACACCAGGTCAAGCATTTTATAGACTGGTCGAGCTCTAGTCAGTCACACGTCACTCCAATTCATGAGATTGGATACAAATCTAACAGGTAAAACTCTCAAGTTGTCAATTTCTAAATGTGATGGTCGTTTCAGAAACAAAATTAAACCAAACAAAATAGGTCAAGTGTTGCAGAAAATGCAAATATCTGACCCTATAGGGCTTCAAACTGGCACCTGGTTTATGGTTTATTTCAAAATAATAATAACAAAGAATTCACACATGCATAAACACGTGTCGGGCAACTCCAAGCTTAAATTAAACGCTTCTCTTGTCCTTGAACACATTTTAATTGCATTATTCCAGTTGTTCGCCTTACCCAACCTATGAGCCTACTTATCTGCTGCTTATCAAACAGTGTCTAGAAAGTAACTGACATTTTTATTGTTGTCTTCTGAAACTCACAAAGATCTGTCTATGGCCTTTTCAGTTAGTACGTCACATTTTATTCCAAAAAAATAGTACATCCTTTACTATATTCTCTGCTTTTCAGTCGCTTGAATTAGTATTGTTATCCTCAACTAAAAGAATCTGTGTTTATCCCCCCGCCCCCATCCTGTTGGTAGTTAACTATTACTTTAACATCCTGAACACAAAAATGAGTATATTAATAAATAAAGGTAGTCTTGCATAAGTAACTGATCAACCCACACAAAAAAAAAAAAAAAAAACAGCAAACAAGATATGACCAGGACACAAATAAGAAAATGCATTAGTTTCTTAATTTGGTGTTAAAAACCAAATGAGAAAGTAAGGCGTCAGTAAGTAACAAATTGACTAAAATCAATCTTAAAAACAACCTACGAGTTGCAAAGAAATCTTATGGGGCATATTGAAGAGAGGCATAGAGAGAATTTGCAAAAAGAAAATGCATGTGTTGTAGACCATAAATAAGTCTAGAACAAACTAAAGACATATTAGTCCAGAGCAAATAGATGTTGAAGACTTGCTTGTTGAGAAAGAAAGATGTTATAGACTTAACCACTTAATCATGTTCTTTTTTATCTAATTATCTTGTTTACGTACTGTGATTGCATTGGCTCATAAAACCTATTGGATCACATATATAACAAAGTCAAGAACCCAGGAACCTTGACTTAAGTTTCATTCAAATAGGCCCAAACTTGAAAGTTTTTGTCATTACACCCTGTAAAAATTTGCCACACCTCCATGTATGTTGCATCTTGGCTCCATCACATGTGCCGGTTTCTTCTGCTACACCACATGGTGAGACACAACCTTCAAAATGTATCCCGCCTTGCGCCATGGCGGGCACCTTAACAACTACAATTGGCATCTTTATTGAGAAAAAAAACTAATATGCAGATGTGATACCTCCAAAATGATAAAACTAATTGCCATTTATAGACAAGGATTGGTTCATCCACATATACTATCCATCTAATCCTCGAATATTTTGTCATTTTTTCTTAAATAGTCTATTGAATGTGAAAATGAACTTTCTAAATGGATGCAAGATAATAGTATGCAAAAGCACTACAAATTACCATAACATAATAGATCTAGATTGTACACGCCCAAACCTTTTTCAAGTTGGGCCCTGGTGTTTCAGAGGACAACAAGGCCAAGTTTGCTTGCTAACCATTAGCCACTTGTTGGCAGCACGGGGAGAAAAAGGCATTTGTTTCATATGAATGAAAAGAATGAATGTCCCATTAATGATGCCCCAAATGATGATAAATGCATTTGAATAAGTGTTGTTGACCTTTTGCCTTTCTTATGATACAAGGATATTTAAGTATTGATGTTGTTTCCATTTTTATGTCAGCTAAAAGTGAACTTGTCCCATTCTTGTTTAGAAACACCCTTTTGAAAAGATAAACAAGGAACTGGTTGAGTTTATAGTCATTTAATAAGTGACAGGGAGGGAAAAACGCCAACTCAACTTGTTTTTGCCTTTAAAAATATAAAACCATAAAAGTAAAACTCAGGAGATTATTCAATGATAATAATATCACAATGGTAACCTGAGTTGTTGGTTGATTGGCTGCTGCTCTGTCAGCATCTTCACGGCCTTCCACATAAGCTGCAAAACAAAATTTAGTAAAACAGCATAAATATGTAATACATATCCATGCATACATTTAAATACATGTACATATTTAATATATCACCATAGAGAAAGACCTTACCAACATTAACATCAAGAGGGGGCCTTTGGGTTGACCAAGGAGATGGTGGTTGCTGTACAGAAAATGAAACTATTATTTATAGTCTACAATGTCAAACATGAAAATTACACCAGTAAGGTTTTCCTTCGAATTGGATATTAGGAGTACCCTATGATCATCTTAACCCAAAATGAAGATGCCAATGTAATAAAAACGTATCAGATAGATGGAATGATTTGGCCAGAAAAATATACTTTGCAAAACTAATGAAAAGGGCAAGAAAAATAGCACTTGCCATGTAAGTGCTAGGCCTCCCAGCTTTTCCATCTGAAGCTCCATTCTCGTTTAAAGAAGAATAATCACTTGGGGTAATGGGAGTACCCCCAGTAGGTATATTGTATGAATTGTCCACGGTCCCTGGTAAAGGTGTTGGAGCTGTTCCCGGTAACGGTGTTTGAGCAGGCAGAGGTGTTTGCATTGGAGTCTGTAATGGTGTCTGCAAGCAACATCCCACTTAAGAAAACAACACATGAAAGCACAAGGCCACTTGATATTTCACACTAGAATATGCACAATTAACTGCCCCACTCTCAGATGTGAGATCCTTTTCCCCTCTTTAATCTCAAGAAAGTTAATACTTAAATATGCCCAAGAAATGTACACTCGATCAATGAAAATAACTGCACAAAAAGACCTCACATCTTACAAACACGTCCTCCATACAAGGCGGAATTTCCTTCAGAGGTCTGACTTCTAGATGGTGAAACTTTCTCAGAGCAAAGTATTTAGAATACACAAATAGCATGGGTATCCACTTGCAAAGGAGTTGACATAAGCATCCAATCAAACCAGTAGGTGTATAAATTATTTTTCACATAAAATTCCAAGTTAACCACAGATTACTTACCGGAGGGAAAAGCAAATCAGCGGTGGGAGTTTCATACTCATCCGGCCCTTCATATGGTACATTAAGATCATGAACAGTGTTCGACGCAGCCCCAGGGACCATCGACTTGGCGACAGAAGATCTGTCAATCGGACCCACTATAGCCCCAGCTTGCATCATTTTCAACTCCCATAACTAAAACGAAACACCAAAACAGCACACAAACAATACGAATTATACAACAACAGATCCAAACGAAAACCACGACGACGAAATCAAATAATATCAAAACCTCCATAAAACTAGATCTATACTAAAAAAATTCGATCGGAAAAACACTCACTCCTTGAAGCTCGTTGAGGACGCCTTCACCAGGACCACCATTGTTGATGAATTCTTCCCGAACTTTGTTGATAACATCCTCGATGACTTGGATATAGACACTGCTGGTCGTGGAACTTGCCATTGAAACCCCCGCCTGACAAAAACCCTAGCTAGTATGGATCTTCCCCAAAATTCGGTTTTCAGATAACGATTGGAGATTTGCGAAGGTTTAAGGGTTGAAGAAGGTTTATGGATTGGAGAGAATTGAATGTGTAAAGCGATAGAGAAGAGAACGGCGGTGAGATGATGGGAGAGATTGGGGGTGCGGAACAGAGAAGAGGAATAAAGAGGGGAATATAAATAGGTTTGCATCCGTTTATATGTGTGAGGGTCTACGTGTCTCGGTACTCCGTCACGCACTGTAATCTAATTTTATTTTACTTCCCCCCTTTTGACTTTTCTTTTTGTCCCTTCAACATATTTTACCAAATAACCACACTAACCATTTTGGATTTCGAATTTAAATTCATTTCATGATTTGAAATTCCTCAAGCATTTTGAAATTTTATGATAATAATATTTTTAAAATATATCTGAAACATTTGTAGAGATATGCAGTGTGTGACCATAGCTGTTGTGACAGTAACTGTAGTAGCACGGTTGTAGTAGGGATGTGTAGTGAGTGAACGGGGGGTGGGTGGGTGTGATGATAACAGTAGTGGCATGTTGGTTAGTGGTAGGGTGGGTGGCGGTGACAATAGTGGTGTGGTGGCGGGGGGTAGGGGGCATCACGAACAAGAGTAGCATGGTCGTAGTGGATGGTGATGGAATTCAATTTCTTCCGTTATGCCAAGAAATTATGAATTCATTAACCTGTTGAATTCAATGGAATTTGAAGGATTCCATACATTTCAATAAATGAACCAAACAAATGAATTGAAATTTGATCAAAGCAATTTGTCATTCCAATTTCATCAAATTCCTTCGAGTTCCGCGAACCAAACAACCACTTATGGGGAGTTTGGTTCGTAGAATAGAATTCGGTGGAACTAGAATTCATCAATTGAATTTGACTTTGAGAGAATGGAATTTAATTGAAAGGAATTTGAAATCCGTGGTATATCAAGTGGAATTGTGAAATTGGTGACCGAAGGAATTTGTAGGAATTGAAAGGATTCCTTCGCTCGTATTATGTGAACCAAACATCATATTTGGAATTTGGTCAAAGATTTGGACATTCCAATTTCTTTCAATTCCACCAAATTCCATGATCCAAACAACCTCTTAGTTTCAAGGATCCTCATTGTTAGGAAAAAAATAAAAAATGATTTTTCTCTTTTAAGAAAGTTCTCCAAATTAAGAGAATTTCACATTCTTTATTCCATTTTCTCTATTTTAGAGAATCGATTGAAGTAAGAAAAAAACTAGTCAAATTTTTCAAAATCTCCATTTTGGAGATGCTCTTAGGTGCCTTTACCAAACGCTTACCCGAGTAAGCACTTACCAAGTCACTTTACTTTACCGGATGAATATGGCAAGGACTAAAAGTCTTACCCGGTAAGAGCGAAGGCAAGAATCGAGAGTCTTACCCTGTAAGAGCGAAGGCAAGAATCGAGAGTCTTACCCGGTAAGTGATGACGAAGACTCTTACCATGGTTAGTGCTTACCGGGATAAATTGTTGCATATGATGCGTTTTAGTGAATAAAATCTTACTTGGTAAGTCAGCGATAATGTTGAATTTTACCAATAAGTATTTACTGGATAAATGTTTAAGTAAACGGCCCCTTAGTGTGGTAGGTTAAATAGAGACATATTACTTGTTAAGCGATATAATTATTTATAAATTCAACAAATCATGCAAATTTATAAATTAGTTTTTATGTGTTGTTTCATACATGAAATAACACATGTGAAAATATAGTATTTATACAGTGTTATTTTGTTTGTGAAACGTTCAGAACTATTTTGTATGTGAAGCAACAGTTTTGAAAGTTTCCGATATGAAAGAATAATGTATAAACACTACATATTCACACTTCTTGTTTCATACATGAAAAAACATATGAAAATTGGTTTGTAAGTTTGTACAGAGTACTGGGTTTGTAAAAGAATCGGACGCTACTTGCTAGATACACACCTACCTACTAATTTCTTTCTCCCCATATATATATATATATATATATATATATATATATATATATATAGGGTTGGGTTCACGTGAGACCAGCCTGTTTTCGTGAGACCCGTGNGGTTTTAAAAAAGTCGAACCTTCACAGCAAAAACACTGTGAAGGTTTTAAAAAAGTCGAACCTTCACAGCAAAAACACTGTGAAGGTTTTAAAAAGTCGAACCTTCACAGCAAAAACACTGTGAAGGTTTTAAAAAGTCGAACCTTCACAGCAAAAACATTGTGAAAGTTTTAAAAAGTCACCTTCACAGCATTTGTGCTGTGAAGTTTCAAGTGTAAAATGCTGGTCTCACGAGTCTCACGAAAACAGGCTGGTCTCACATGATCCCAAGTCTATATATATATATATATATATATATATATATATATTAACATCAAGACTTACATTTTACATTTTCAATATATGATTTAACGTTTTTATATAAATGGGTCTGCATATAGCAACACTTGGTTTGGTTTGGACCAAAATGAAACATGTTGTGTTATGTTTGATGTAATATTGAATTAGGACATAATAGAAAATGAGTAGCTTAAAATTGCATATTTCTTGTTTCGCCAGATAATGTATAATCCAGATCAGAAAGATGTGACGGGATTAGTAAATTACTTAACACTTTATATCATATTGAAACCTTTGAAAATCATTTCACGTAACACCCCTAAATTTAGAAAATAGCAGAAAATTTAAAAAAAAATTAATACAAAGTAACTTTAATACAAAAAGTACATAAAGTTTATCAAAAATGAGAACAGGGTATGTATCAGAGTTTTAAACGGACCATCTGATTCCCAAACAAAATTAGAATGAGTTGTTTGTTACTAATACCACAAAATCTGCTATCTTCAAAATCGGATGACGCCCTTAAGCCATCTTATCGGAACCTCTACAAAGGTCAATACACAACTCAGGGGTTGTTTGACAATTGTTGAATGGTTTGGTGCAGAATGATTAAGAGGCTCTCATGATATAGTGCAAAATGAAATATAATTGTTTGGTAATTGTGTACAATGAATTAGGGCTCTTAATGGTTAAGGGAGATCCATGATACAAAATCATTCAGAGGATTTTAAAACCATTAAGAGACATACTTTTTTTTTGCCAAACAAGATTCACCTCTGAACGATTCAGAGGTTGCCTCTTAATGAAACTATTAAGAGGTAAACAAACAACCCATCAATTCCTTCAAAGACATGATATCTATGTCAATAAGAAAAAACATTAGGTTTTACGTCTCCTGGGCTTAAATAGTTTATCTATACTATATTATAAAGCATTAAGCATTTGACAAAAACCTTTAAAAACCACGTTTTATGCGTAAAGTACTGTTCATTAATGTATATTACTTAAAACTCAAGATTGCAAGTAGATTGTGCGTAAGTACAACTTATTAAAGCTCCATATTTGAATTCATGTAACTAACTGCAGATAAACATAATCAAATACAAGATAAACATCTCATTTTAAATATAAAAAATCTAAAATATAATTAGGATAATCATTGAGTTCTAACAGAATGCTTAATTATTATCTTTATAAAATTTTATGTTATTAAACCAAAAGTAAATTATTTCGTTATTAAACTTAAATTAAATTATAATAATTTTTTTTTTTAAATTACATAAAAAATGAAAACATTTAAATAGTTGATTTGATATTAACATTGATATATATTTTTAAATTTTTATGATATTTTCAAATTTATATTTTATTCAAAAATAAAATCGTATTATAACATCGACAGAGACAGATAATAAAATAGAATATTAAAATCAAGATATGTCTTGCTGCATTGCACGAAACTCTTCTAGTCTCATAAACATAAAAGCAGTAAAGCCCGAAGAATTTCCATTTATCCCAATAATTCCTTATAAAATAGCATTTAAAATCAAAACAATAATTTTCACAAAGACCATTTCAAAAATAAGATATGATAATTAAATGTTACTTTAAATTAAAACCATCATTCAAACTTACCCTTCAAAATAAATGAATAAGGCTCATTTCACAAAACGCCCAAAATAAGATGATACTGTATACTCCCACAATCATCAAAAGCACGGATAGACTCAACCCCTAAACAACACATTTCGGTGATGATGGGTACTCGTTTCCATCTACTATGGAGTAACATAAAGTAAGTCATATCTTAAAGTTATCGAGTAGCACCCTAAGATCATGGTCTCTGTGTCTAACTCCTATCAAGTTTACACTACAATAGCTAAGGTCTCAGAGCCCCACCGACAACCTGTACAAGTTCATCTATGCAATACCCAACCTTAATCATCCAAAATAAGAAAGTTCAACGGTTTACTTATTAAAAAAAGTTCAGAAACTTAATCGTTCAAATTGAGAAAATTCGATAATTTACTTATTAAAAAAATATTCAAAGACTTAATCATTCAAATGAGAAAGTTAGTTGGTTTTTTTAACTTTTCCCGCTAGAGAAATAGTCATGATTCCCACCATAATGGTGATATCCACTTTTTATTAGTCGATGGGCTAATTCAGCAGAAAAAGATAAATAAGCCGCTTATCCCAAAAATTCAAAAAAAAAATTGATTTTAGGGAAATTTGGTGGAGACATTTGACAAAATTCATGTGTCGACACATGGTTGATTGGCGAAACGAAAAATGGCCCCCTACATGACAGGTTGGCAGAATTCACCAATTGTCATATTCACTCTGACATAATTAATGATTATTTCTTTAGAAATCCTTAAATAAATGGTTATTTTCTCCCTTTCAAATGAATGGTTATTTTCTCACCATAAATGGCTATTCTCGTTAACTCAAACTTTATCTTTACCATAGGAGGTGGAGATCTACAGATACTAGGCTTCAGGGTCGGCCCTGGGCATGGGCGACATGGGCCTTCGCCTAGGGCATCCTTAGCCCAAGGGGCAGTTAGCCCAAGCCCGTTTTATATTATCATTTATCAGTCTTGAGTCTTCCCAGTTTGATTGACACCTACTAGCTACTGAACTACGATGTCGGACGCTCCATGCACCACGCCTCCACCCCAAAATTGAATAGACCAATAAATCAATAATCAAACGCAAGTCGTGTCATTGATAGCCATCGTGACCTCCGCCAGATTCATTATCTGAATTTGCCATCAATT